ATACCATTAAAGGTTTTGTAAGCTATGTTAAGGATTTTGAAATTTATTATAACAAGAAAAAGTTTCCATTTGAGCGCTTAATATATGCCAGACTATACTAACCACTTTCTCACACTTGTAGAACATTGTAAGCTCACCATTAATGTGATAGCTATTAAGAGTGAACCAAGATAACTGATAAAGCAAGATCCCAAAGCAGACCAAAGGATATGGGACCTAAGTAGAACAGACTCTCAGAGCCTAAGTGGCTCTATTACAAAGTAAGGCAATATGCTCTGAAGTCCTCTGGTCATCACATTCTAGGATTCTTACTCCAATTACACAGTGCTTTAAAATTTTTTCAAAATACTCTTCTATCCATTTTTTAAGCTGATTCTCAATCTACCCTATAAAACTTAACAGGACAAACACTGAAATTCTTTTCTGAGATAATGAAACTAATACCACGGTTAGTCATTTGTCCAAGTCTGCTTATTTAATCAATAGAGGAACTAAGACCATTCCATTCAGTAAGGCCCAACTTATGCCCATCCTCTTGCTGTAGTCTGCCCCTGGGTGCTCCAGCTTAGTCCAGCCTAATCTCCTCCCTCTTGTATCCCCTAAGGTACTACTACTAACACGTATGGATCCAAACAGAGCAGCTTGTGCCCCTCTTGTTTTGTAAGCTTATATTTTATATGCCACTGGTGGCTTGCCTTCCCAAGAGTATTCCATTTCTGTAAAACAGAGCCTAATATCATTACTTGCTCTATATTCCTAATAGAGCCCAACACAGGGCAAGACATTGAGTAAGTGTTTAGTAAGTCTTAACGAGTAACTGAGCGAATGACCTGATAACACAACTCCAATCACCCTGGACTTGATGTCTAGGATGCATTTTTTTGTTCCTACATACTAACAACATTGTACCTGGTAAATAAAATAACAATCATGGGTAATCCTCACAATTATTCTATGAAGTGGGCATATTTCCAAACGCTTCCCTCCAATTTTACAGATAAAGAACCTTATGTTTAGACAGCATAAAGTATTTACCCAAGTAGTATCATGAATGAATGCTAGGTTTCTAGGAATCTATAACTAACTTAGCAGGTTTAAACACAATGCTGGGAAGGCTGTGGTTTGGATCTATGCCAACTTGGCCATTTCCCTTTGTTTTATGGGATGTCCCTCACTTCAGCCATTTACTTTCTATACTCATGGGATGCTTTGAAAGAGAAAGTAGTCTTGGCATAATCCTTACTTACTGGGGAAATAGCAGGAAATCATGAGTACTTCCTGAATATAATGAAGCCATCATTTGTCAGACTTACTTCACACACATTTTCTCAGTTAAATACCAAACAAATGTATTAAGATATAGCATTATTTCCATTTTACAGATGAAGAAACTTGGGATTAAAGAAGTTAGCAATTCATTCAACCACAACACTAGTAACAGTGACTCACCACCCAGGACTGTCTGATTTCAAGGCTGGTGATCAATAATGGTTTCTTTCAAATGCTATTCAGTCCAGATCAACTGCTTTCAGATAGTCTCAGGGGCCATATCTGATTCTTCTGTCTGTCCAGCATTACGCATAGGTCTTAGATAGAAACACTGCTTAGGAAAGATTTGCTTGAATTGAATTTAAGGAAAGATGTCTAAGCTCAAAATTACCAACATCAGTGCCATAAAACTCACACAGTCCCAGTCCATGGTCTTGCTCCAAGCTTTAGGCTACTTCAAGGTAGAGGAAGGGTAGGGGAGAAGTGCCTGGGTCCAGGATGTAATAATCATTCAGGAGCCTTTGAACAACTATTGTGAGGGAATATAGTCCCTTTTACTGTGGAGAGCTTAAGGACAGCTAAAAGAACAATTTGAGCCCATGAACATCCAAGTAGAGATGTCCAACAGGTTTGATATATGGGCCAGGTCTACAGCTCAGGAGAGAGGTATGAGTTGGACGTTTAGCTTTGGGTGTTATCAGGGTATAAACAGAAGCCATGAGATTGCCCAGAGAGAGTAACCAGAAAAAAAAGAAGGTCAAGAACAGAATCTGGTTAACACTGAAAATCTGGCCTTAGAGTTAGCACCTCTTCTTCCCATACCTGAAAAGATGTCAATGCCTATTGACTTCACCTTTACCAAACTTTTCATCTATACTAAAGCAAGAGCCTCCACAAAACTGGTCCCACAGCCTCCACTTCCATCTGGCCAACACACCTGGACCTGAACACAATATGTCGCTTTTCTACTCATTATACCTCATGATCCCTGTGAAGCTGCCATCAACTTTCTCATTTTATAGACTGAGAAATTTTATACTCATTTTATAGGGTGGTAAAATGAGTAGGAAAGAAGCAGTACTCAAAGTCAGGTCTCCCAACCTCAGAGTCTGTGCTTTTACCACCTCACCACGCTATCTTCTAAACACAGTTTACATCTTTATGCATTCCATTATCCTGCATCTTTTCCTTTCCTATGAATTCCAACAGTGATAAAAATACTGATCAGTAGGGGAGCCTGGGTGGCTCAGTCAGTTAAGCCTCTGACTTTGGCTCAGGTCACGATCTTGTGGTTCACAAGTTTGAGCCCTGAGTCGGGCTCTGTGCTGACAGCTCAGAACCTGGAGCCTTCAGATTCCTTGTCTCCCTCTCTCTCTGCCCCTTCCCTGCTCACGCTCTGTTTCTATCAAAAATAAATTAAAACATTAAAAAAATTTTTTTAAATTTTTTAAAAAATTTTAAATTTAAAAAAAATTTTTAAAAATTAAAAAAAATACTGATAAGTATTCAGAATATCTCCTTTCACAATATTATATATTTATAGGGTACTTTATGGTTTATATTGCTCTCTGCAAAGACACATTCTCATTTTAATCCTTACAACTCTGAGATGTAAATGGTAATTAAGTCCCATTTTTAGATGGCAAAAAAAAAAAAAATGAATCTCAGAAAAGGGAAATATTTGCCTATAATCAAATAGTGGGTCAGGAATGGATGTTGATGTCAAGTTTCAGGTAACTCAAAGCTCATTAATTTCCACATGGCTATGTCCCTTTCTCTGCCCTCAGAGAAAGACCTGGAGACAAAATTTCTTGATGACTTACCTTGCATTTGGCCAATAGTCAGATCCTTATCCAATCTATCAACACCTAGAACAAAATAGGAGAATCCGGAAGTAGCTTACTAGAAAAGGCTGTGCGAAACAGGTTTTGCTATTCAAGTAGGAAAAACTGCTACAAAGTTGTAAATATGATGACATTATCAACTCGTGTTAATGCCAATCCCAACTCCTTGAGGGTATATGCTCACCACATGAAGCTTTCCAGAATGAGGTTCCCTTGCAATCTTTTTGCTCATTTAAACTGGTTTCTGAAAACAGGGTTTTACTGTAAAAATTTTCATTATACTCAGAATATCTTGATACCACTCTAGAAGGCCTTGGGCTTAACCAGGGACTGAAGGCAAGCCAGAATTAAGCTATCCCAGATGAATGCTTATGCTTAGTTAGGTTTAGGGATTTGGTATGGAGAGGAGAAAAGCACAAATGAGTGAGGATGGGACTTCACTTTGGAAGTCACTACCCATTTGATGAGTAGTTTTAACAAGGACATATTCAGCTGATGATATACCTACGCTGCTATGGACTGAACTGTGTCCTCCCCCCAATTTGTACGTTGAAGCCCTAATCCACAATGTGACCGCATTTGGAGATATGGAAATAATTAGGGTCAAAATGAAGAAGTAATTAAGCTTAAATGGGGTCATTTGGGTAGGGCCTTCATATGACAGGATTAATATCCTTTTAAGAATAAACACCAGGGAGCTTACTCTCACTCTCTTCTGCCATATAAGGACATAGTGAGAAAGCATAGTTGTCTGCAAGCCAGTAAGAAAGCTCCCACCAGAACTTGACTGTGCTGGTACCCTGATCTCAGACTTCTTCCAGAACTGTGAGAAAATAAATTCACTGTTTAAGCACCCAATCTATAATATTTTGTTATGGCAGCCTCAGCTAATACATACACATACACACTTACCAGCCAAGAGCAGCAATTTAGGAATAGGACAACTAAGAAAGAGATTGGATAAGCCTCGGAACCAGCCATCCCAGTATTTTTCTGTTTTCGCCAGTTCAATTCTCCAAGTGTACGGATGGTCTTTCTTGGTCTGGAGGAATAAGAGCAAGTTCTGAGTCTCTGAGGGCAACCCCTGGAGGAACAGGATAATAACTAGGTCCCTGGGAAAAGGAAAGGGAAGGAAACTAGCACTTATTAAGGGCCTACTATGTCCCAGACATTTTCACATACACTTAATCAATTATAAGAGTCTTATGATATAGGTTATTGTTGTAATTCCCATGTTTAAATAACTAGAAGTTTACTTTTTACTTCTATTAATTTCAGTGGACTTAGGAAA